TGCGCCCAACCGAATTTCAACCCGCGACAGATCCGCTGGTTGGACTAGATGGAGTCCAGCTTCCACTACACGGTCACGTACAAAAAAGGCGCATCAAATATCGCCGACGCACTCACACGCCCCACCGCCCAACTCCACGCCATCCTACTTGCCCAAACCAACCCACTGTTAACAGGCCTATTCACCAACGGGTACAGCACCGACCCCTATTTCATGACCGGAAATTCACAGCAACTGGCAGAAGCTAAGGGAGTCTATTTACGTAAAGACAGGCACCAACCGCATCTGGGTACCCGCGTACTCACTACTGAGGGAGCTGTTCCTGCAAGAGGCACAGGGCGGAATTACCTTGGGACATTTTGGGGTAGAAAAAATGCGACAGCAACTGCAACGGTATTACAACTAACCGGAGCTGTTGACCGACGTACAGCACCACGTGTGTTGAGATGATAGGCTAGAACGAGGAGCCATAGCTAGGGAAACCCTAGCTAGGCAAGAGAAGATAGACAAAAGGAGAGGGTTCACTAGAAAGCAGCAGGATACATATAGGAAACCCTAAGGGGTTGTACTCGCTATAGAGTACCCCACTGCAGGCTAGAGAACAATAACATTCTGACACACCCCCATAGTCAAAGTGGGGTATAATCAGCAGAGCAAGTAGTCTTAGAGCAGGTTCACATGCACAAGTAAAGTTAGAGGCAGTCGTAGAGGGCAAGTGAGGAGGAGGAGGAACTGTGGAAGGAGAGAAGATGGGAGGCAACGACTGAAGCTGCAGAGGCACGGGCACAGGAGCGGCTGACTCAGTGGCTACCGAAGCAAGGGCGACGGACTACTGGAGTAACTGGCTCCGCGGCTATAGACGAGCGGCAGGAGCAACGGACCCACTGGCGACTGGTGCAACAGGCTCACTGGCTACCGAAGCAAGGGCGACGGACTACAGGCGCTGCAGGCGACACGACAGCTACCTTCACACAACCTCCTCTAACTGCCCCACACCCTCGACACACACCCCCTGCTGAACCCCTAACTCCACTCCCACAGCACCCCCCTTAAACCCTAAACCCTAGGCTCCCACACACCCACCCCCCTCAGCGGCAGCTGCAGCAGTGGGAGACGAGGAAGGAGGAGGAGCAAGGGGAGGAACGCACAACCGCCACCCTCACACCCGCCACCCCCAAACCCTAACGTAGGTAGGAGCGCAGGAAGCTGTAGGGACGGGTCACGGAGGGAAAGGGAGGCGGCGGGGGGTCTCCAGGGCGCCACGAAGGGCAGGGCGCGGGCCCCCCGAGGGCGCCACGGCGGGTGACGGGAGGGGGGCCGCGCATGGGCCCACGAGGGCGGCTCGACGGGCGACGGAAGGGCCGCGCGCGGGCCCCCAAGGCGCCGCGACGAGGCGACGGTTGGGGCCGCGCGCGGGCCCCCAAGGCGCCGCGACGAGGCGACGGGAGGGGCCGGCACGCGGGCCCCCAAGGCGCCGCGACGAGGTGACGGGAGGGGCCTGCGTGCGGGCCCCCAAGGCGCCGCGACGAAACGACGGGAGGGGCCGGCTCGCGGGCCCCCAAAGCGCCGCGACGAGGCGACGGTTGGGGCCGGCGCGCGGGCCCCCAAGGCGCCGCGACGAGGCGACGGGAGGGGCCGGCGCGCGGGCCCCCAGGGCACCGCACGAAGCAGGAACCCGCCGCGCGCCTCGGGGCGCACGGCGGGCAGAAAACCGCCACGCGCCCCGAGCGCGTGGCGGGAAGAAAAATCAAAGGTCGCGCGCCACGGGGCGCGCGACACACAGTAGGGCAGCGGAAGTAGGTGGGCCCACAGGCCAGGAGCGTAACCGCTCTGATAGCATGTTGAGATGATAGGCTAGAACGAGGAGCCATAGCTAGGGAAACCCTAGCTAGGCAAGAGAAGATAGACAAAAGGAGAGGGTTCACTAGAAAGCAGCAGGATACATATAGGAAACCCTAAGGGGTTGTACTCGCTATAGAGTACCCCACTGCAGGCTAGAGAACAATAACATTCTGACAACGTGGGCTCGTGTCGTACGTGTCAGGTGATAAAGAGCTCGCGAAAAAAGAAAGGCGGGTCCGTTGCAGCCGATTCCACAGCCCGAGCGCGCCTGGCAGTAGGTCACGATGGATTTCGTCACAGGGTTACCTTCGAACCCTGGGGGTAAGGACGCAGTTATGGTCGTCGTTGACAGACTGACGAAAATGGCTCACTTTGCTGCGTGCAAGAAATCAATCTCAGCCGAAGAAACCGCTCGCCTGTTCATCGCTCGCTCGACTGCACGGGATACCAGCCGCAATAATCAGCGACCGCGTCACGAAGTTCACCAGCAACTTTTGGAAGAACCTCTGGGAGCAGTTCGGGACCAGGCTATAGTTCAGCTCATCGTACCACCCCGAGACCGATGGTCAAATGGAGCGGACGAATCAGACGATGGAGCAGTTGATTCGGGCCACATGCGACGACCCGACAACTTGGGAGCAGCAGTTGCCGCTGATCGAGTTCGCATACAACAACGCCACGTCAGCAACGATGCAGTAGTCCCCATTCTACCTGAACTATGGGCGAAACCCAACAGCGCAAGTGATTGTAAGCGCATGTGCAAGCACCTACTTCGCAGGTGCTTGTAGACAGTTATGCACGACGTGCACTGTCACACACATTGCGCAGGTTGTCAGCCACATGCTGACGGTTGCACATGATGAGCCACGTCGACCACGTGCTGCCACGTCGGTCGACTTCGCCACAGCAGCCTCGACGACGTTCGCACACCTTCACGCACTCGTCGAGCAGGTAACTTGGTCAACCAGACGAAGTCCCTGACATCTCTGCAGGATTATGACCTTCGTCATCACCGGTTGATGACCTTCGTCGTCGCAGGTTGACGACCTTCGTCGTCGCTGCTCGACGACCTTCGTCGAGCACCTTCGTTGAGCACCTCGGTTGACATTTCAAAATGTCAGCCCCTGATTGGTCGAAATTAGGGCACATTCGAATTTCTGGCCAAAATTCGCCTGTGCAGTCTCAAGGTTGCGCAGGGTCAGACGCGACCCTGCGCAGACGAACACCCGCGAACTTCTGCACCAGTTGCGCCACTCTGGTCGACGAACTGCTTCGTCGACCATCCTCGTTGAAATCCTTCGTCGAACTCCTTCGTCGACGAAGTCACACTGGTTCCGCTCAGGTCGACGACCGGCTTCGTCGGCCTCTGCGGAAGGTCGGCTGCACCTCCCACGCACCCAACCACAAAGTCAATTTGCCCATGCGAGGGCGGGGCCAATTTCCTTCAACAAGGTCGCGGTAAGGAACGTCGAGAAAATTTCTTACACTACCCCCCCCTTCAAGAAGCCCCCTCCGCTACGCGAGTGTGTGTACGGTATATCGCGAAAACCCCGGCTCCTCAGGTACACTTCCAGGGCAGGGTGGGTTTCAATGTTGGCCAGGGGCACCCAGCTATCCTCAGGTGGCGTGCGGTCCTTCCAACGAACGAGGAACTCGATTCTCTTGATGCATGTGGGGTGTCGAATCCGACGGCTCAGTATTTTTTCGGGCTTGATGATCGGCTCCGATGCAGGGGGAGTCATGGATGGCGGGCGGTGACGAGGCAATTGGCTCGTGGTTGGTATGTACGGGCGAAGCAGGCTGACGTGGAATGATGGGCTGATGCCGACCGTCTGTCGGCAACAGTGAGTGGGCGGTAACTGGGGTGATCATGTGGCTAATTTGGAATGGTCCACAGTAGCGCGCTCGTAATTTCAGCACGACGAGCAGTCTTAAGTTCTGTGTGTCGAGCAGTACGTAATCTCCCGACTGGTGCGTGACTGGGCGGCGGTGGCGGTCAGCGTTGCGTTTTGCGATGACGTTGGCTTTTTTTACTGCTTCTGCGGCTTTTCTGCGGGCAGCTTGCATAATCTCGCAATGTTGGCAAGCCGCGCGGATGCTGGGTTGGCAAGCCGTGCGGGTGCAGCGTTGGCAGGCCGCCATCTACAGCGTTGGCAAGTCGCGCATAAGCTGCGTTGGCGGGCCGCAGACTTGCTATGTTGGCAGGTCGACAACCCTGTCACGCTGGCAGTCGACCTGCCTGAGCACTAGCAAACCTTGCATGTGATGTAGTCAATCTTTGCCATTGCTTGTTATCATTCTGAACTCTGTTATTCTCAACTTTCCTTAGAGAAACTCTTGTTGTTTTGCCTTGTGAAAACACAAGTCCTAGAGAACACAGACAGAGCTACGATCACTCCTACAACTCGTGCCAACCGTGTAGTCTAGCTCCCACCGTTGTAGAGTTAATCTCCTCAGACCTGCAACATCGCGTACAGCAACAGCCGTTGTTCGCCCGATACTGCTAACGGGGCTTCGCCAACTTCGCGCGCACTGTTTCACCAAACCATGCACCGCTGGCCCGGCCGTGTCGGCCTACGCTTCGGGACTAGGCCGCGCTTTGATGCCAGCCTAGCACTAGCTAGCTCGCACGCACCGCGTTACCGTTTGCATGTTTCGTATAAATGTTCGCTCATGCCTTCGCTCACATTTTGTACTAGTTCGACAACTTAGTCCAATCCTCGCTACCTCGTAACACTTCTCTAGGCTATATCACTAGTCTAGTGTTATAGAACTTGAGAAGAAGGCAGCCCCTGTGTGTGTAGAGCAGAGAAACCCGATGCGTCAGTCAGATTCTGCATACCAAAGCTGGCTTGGATCGGTTCCTCTTCACGACATATCTCTACTTGGTTCTTCCGTGGCGCAGAGCTCGGCAAAAAGCACACGCCCGCAAAATGCTCGTTAGCTGGCGTCTACGAAACGCTTTGCGTTCGGATCCAGACACCTTTGGTAGACTACGACCACGTCGCGACAAATTTCGAAACCTTGTCGTTCTGCTGTCAGTGTTGTGCATCTTCGACGCGTTCCCCGCGGTCATCTCCCTGTCTGACGTGGCAATAGGAGCTCCTGACGCGATTCCAGAAGGTCATGATGACGAAGTTCGTATTGTACCTGAAGCCATGTCACCTCAATCTGACCCCGTCTCGTTTCAGCCGGAGGCCGTTTCATCTCAATCCGAGCCCGTGTCATCTCAAGTCCCGGCCGTGTCAGATTGGGACGCGTTTGAAACGCAGTTGAGGCGAGAGGCAGATGAGGAGCCTATCATAGAGGTCAGGTTATACGTCATCAGTTCTCAGCCCTTCGTCGTTTTTCTCATTCACCACTCACAACCACTTCGTGTTCACTCTTACCTCTTTCATGCCTGCACATAACCTCCAATCTTCATTTCCTTCTCATATTTTCCCCCTTCCCTCTCCCTCAACACTCCTTCCCAATTCCACTCTATCTCCCATCCTCACGTGTCTCTCCCAACCTTCCACCTCCTCAGGTCAACGCCACCACTCTCAACCGCCTCTTTGAGCTTCTCACCGCTTCCAACCCGACAGCACTCACTTCTCCACCCGCAACTCCCTCCGCTACTCCCTCATCCTCCTTCCACTCCACAACCCCTTCCCCGTCGCTTCCCTTCCCCCATCCGCACACCTCCCCTTCTCCCCCCACATCCACCCACTCCGCCTCGGAATCCAAGCCAACCCCTTCTGAACCACCCCACACCTGCCCTAGCCAAACCGGCCACCAAGGAACATGCGACAGCGGGAGTAACACCGCTACCACCAGCAGCACCGGCTCCAGCACCGGCAGCAGCAGCAGCAGCAGGAGCAAGAGCAGGGGCAGCAGGAGCGGTGCGGCAAACCGTGCTTCTGTAGTGTGCCGTGCAGCGTGTGTGCTGGTATACACGGACTGGTGCCCCTTCTCCTCGCAGCTGCGCGTACTCCTCTCATCCACTGCGCCACTCTTCCCCCACATACTGCACGTGGCCATCGACAAGAAAGAGCTCCGACCCAGGTGACGTGACTTACCTGCCAGTTTGAATTAAGGTAACGCACTTACCAGCTGATGACAAGGTGATTCCCCCACATACTACACGTGGCCTTCGATAAGAAGGAGCTCTGACCCAGGTGAGGTGACACACGTACAAGCGAACTAACCGTTGTCGGGGGGATGCGGAGTTAAGGTTGGAAAGGAACGAGCTCTGTGTGATGCAAGAGGTTCAAGGTGGTTGAGTTGTAATGTTTTTTTCAGGCTGTCTTGCTTCTGGCTGTCTTCTGCTCTCCTGCTCCTCTCTCCCCTCTTTCCCGCCCACCCCTCCTCCCGACCAACCTGTCTTCTCCATTTCCTTCCCCTTCTTCTTCTCGCCACTTTTTCCTACCATATCCCATCCTGCCACCCCCTTCCTGCGATGCTCCTGCAGCGTTCTTTCGCGCATGGGCGTGTACAGTGTGCCGGCTCTCTTTCTGCAGAACTCCACCACTCGGATCCGCTACCGGGGCCCACGCACTGCCGCACACCTCTCCGAATACATTTCAGCATTTACTCGCTGTAAGAGCGGTGGGTGTAAGGGAAGTGGGTGTAAGGACAGTGGGTGTAAGGGCGGTGGGTGTAAGGGCGGTGGGTGTAAGGGCAGTGGGCGTAAGGGCAGTGGGTGTAAGGGCAGTGGGTGTAAGGGCAGTGGGTGTAAGGGCAGTGGGTGTAAGGGCGGTGGGTGTAAGGGCAGCGGGTGTAAGGGCAGCGGGTGTAAGGGCAGTGGGCGTAAGGGCAGCGGGTGTAAGGGCAGCGGGTGTGAGGGCAGTGGGTGTAAGGGCAGCGGGTGTAAGGGCAGCGGGTGTGAGGGCAGTGGGTGTAAGGGCAGCAAGTGTAAGTAGGTTCACTCTCGTACATGACAAGCATCATTCCTTGCAACAATGGCTTTGCTGCTGCAAGACATCTCCGACCTCACTCCCTTTGTTGTTATGGCTAATTTCTTCCAGATAATGGTTGAATGTACCACGGTGTTTCCAATAACTGCTATGTCGTACTCTCCACGCTTCTTTCGATTCCCACTGTAACCCCTCCTCTCTCACTCCTCCCCGCTCCCTCTTCCCTCCTCCATCCAGGTCCCACAAGCTCCCCTTTCTCTCCCCTGCAGCCGTCCCCCAACCCCTTCGCCACTGACTCTTCACCTCTCAGTCTATGGTTTGGCTGGGATCAACCTGCTTCTGCAGTCACCTGGGGCTCCAAGCGCGCTGGATCCGACTCACCTTCCCCTGCCGCTGACTCAGCACAAGCTGCTGCTGACTCATCGCAAGCTGGCGCCAGCACAGGCGCAAGCATACATGCAGAAGCGGAAGGCGGAGCAGTGGATGAGGCAGGCACAGCAGGTGAAGAAGCCAAGCCATTCCTGCATGGGGTAGCATCCAGTTTCCACATGTGTCCGTACATGGCTGCTTTGGAAGACTCCAAGCGGCAAACCAGGCACCTCCAGCAGCAGCAGTGGTGGCAGCAGGGGGGGGAATTGGGTGTGGTTCGGGGAGGAAAAGGTGCAAGAGGCGAAGGGAGGAGGGGGGTTGTGTGCCCCTATGCGTGGGCCATTCGTCCTGAGTCTCTCCTTTCAGAGTCCTTCTGCCTGTGGTTCTCTGGAGTGTTTCTCATGGGGCGATGCCTGGTGTGGCTTGTGCGGAGGAGATGGGGGGCAGGGGATGCTGGAGGTGACGGGCAGGTGGAGGGGCAGCAGCAGGTGCAGCCGGAGCAGCAGCAGCAGCTGCTGCTGCGGGAGCAACAGGATCAGTAATGACTGCCCGTTTTGTGAATCTGTAACCATCTGTTGAGTTCATTTGTGGAGGAATCGGGTGAATCATTCTCATTGGAAAAATATGTGGTACCTTGGGCAGCGAACTAACCATTGACGCCAAGCACCCTCCCTCTCTCCCTCTCCATCCTCCGCTCCTTCCACGCAATAGTTGCCGGAAGATACAATTGGCTCTTGTTTAAGAGGTCATTGTGTCTGTCGCAGCGATGGTGATGTGCCTTGGAAACAGAATGCCCAATCAACCCCCCATAAGCCCCAGGTTGGGCAACAATGTCTTCTCCAAAAAACATGAACTGCTGGATTGGCACCAATGTTGGCCTGGTTGCTGCATTCGAGTTTCTATGACAACACAATCCATACTCGGAGACATACCGTAATCTCCCGGATAGTAGACCCTAGGGTCTTATGTAAAAATAGGGGGGGTCTTGTCAACGGCACAAGATTGTATAGTACCCGGGTCTTATTAAATTGCTATAATGATCGACCCGGGTCTTAATCGAATGCCTCATTGATGAGGATGCTTGACTTTTTTTTTTTCACTGTTGTTTGGGCTGCACATGTGCGTCTTCTGCGATGTAGCCACATCACACAGGGGAATCAGTTTGTGGCCTTCTCATTGGCCGAAATCGCACATTACTACATTCCATCATTAAGATTCGTTCTGTGGCTCGTCAGCGTGCCATCCCACTTCGACACCCTGACACATGCACGGCTCGAGCGCAGGGGTTGCACGGTGGCCCCAGCAGGAACCCCTACTGTTCAACGGGAGGCACGTCAATCCTTTCACAATCCTGCTCTTCCAACTGTTTCTTCATCCACGCACGAAACTGATCTCTGCTCGGCAGAGTGGTGCGCTTAGGGCCCGTAGCTCTAGGATGGTCGTCTTAACATGGCTGGAGGAAGTACTTAGAGCAGTAGCTAGAGGTGTAAGCTATTGTTCACGATGGTGACGTCTCCAGATTCAGGGATGTTGCACGCAAGGCGCCCTCGTCCCACTAACGCTAATCGAGCATCGCAAGCACGAGTTTCACCCCGTCCCGTTTTGCCAACAACTTCACCTTCCTCCAGTGATCCTAGCGACAATTCCCATGGCATTCGCCGACCGCCGCTTCCTAGAGTCGTGATCCCTACTTTTCCGGAGTCTAGTCGCCCGCAAGGCACGAAACGAAGAATTCTAGATGCTGCACCTCTTTCCCCTTGTCATAGGATGACGAAACGCTCTCGTAACGCGTTCACCGCCAAGGAGAAACTGCACTGGCTAGCCATGTTGGAGTCACAGCCTGACCTCAGCATCCGTGGCTTGGCAAAGCTCGCCAAGGTGCAGCCCAAGCAAATCCGCGAGTGGAGGCGACTCAAGGAGCGTCTCGAGGTTGCCGCTGGTTGTCACCAACGTCTTAACGGTGGAGTGCGTAGGGCGAAGTGGCCCATGAACGCTGACAAGACCCCGCTCTAATTGGAGATGCCGGCAGAACGCACCCTCGAAATGAAAGGCGCCCGCACGGTGCATGTCAGGACGGCGGGGTACGAGAAGGAGCGTGTCACTCTCATGTTGGCAGTGACGGCTGACGGCCTGAAGCTTCCCCAGTATGTCATCTTCAAGCGGAAGACGGTGCCACGAATCGTGGTGCCACCATGTGAGCCCGATGTGTTTCCGTTGTTGATTCCTTATGTTCCTCGTTTCTCCGTGACTGATTTCTCGTTGTAAAGTGTGCAGGTATCGTCATCCGCGCCCAAGAGAAGGGCTGGATGGACGACACAGGTGCTCGTCCTCTTCTTAAAGCCGTTGTGGGACGAGGGCGGACGGCGCAAGCAAGCGCTCCTTGTCATTGACTCGTACAAGGGGCATCTGGCGGAATCCGTGGGGCAAACTCTGAAGATGTTTAAGGTGACGCGTGCCGTCATCCCTGGCGGTTGCACCCCCCTGGTGCATCCGCTTGACGTCTCCATCAACCACAATTTCAAGTGCAGTGTTTGCCACCGCTACAGCACGTGGTTTGAGGAGGTCGGGATCAGCCAAACGAGACGTGCAGGTGAGTCGTGGTCGATTCGTGAGCTTTAATATGACTAGGCAGCATTAACTCCACTGCCTTTACATCTCTGCCGTTCATCCTTCTTGTGAACTCCAGGGAACTTGAAGAAGCCCCACCTGGAAGTGATCCTGAAGTGGATCGTCGAGTCATGGGCTGATGTGCCAAGAGCTGGTGAAGAAAGCATTCCTCACCTACGGCATCTCCAGTGCCGAAGACGGGAGCGAGGATCATCTGATCCTCGCTCACCTGCGGGACAAGGCGGAAGTGGAGGTGCTGGATGATATGCTGGACGAGGGGGAGGACGGGGTGAACCCCAACCCGTTCTACGAAGACCCCTCGCACGCCCCTGAGCCCACCGCCACCAAGGAGGACGAGGCAGAGGACGAGGAGGAAGGGCTTGCAAGGGAGGAGGATGTGGTGGGTGCTGCTGCCGAGGAAGGGGATGTGATGGCTCCGGATGAGGAGGGGGATGAGGCAGATGCAGAGATGGGAGGTGCGGACGAGTGGAGTGTGGATGGAGACGACTGGTGGGCAGCAGGCTGCTATGAGGGAGAGGAAGTGGAGGAGTGGGTTGCAGGTGAGGATGAGTGACTGTTTTTATGTTTTTCTCACCCCTTGTTGCCCCCTAAATCTCTGAAATGCAAACCGTGAATAGGTTGCATTAGTGTCAAACTTGTCTTGCTAGTGAAGCACTTGAAAAGACATCTTATTTCCATTATAAACTAGTGACAACCATAAGGGGGGGGGGTTCTAGTAATGTTTACCCCTTTAAGAGGGGGTATAGTGAAAACCTGCCAAAATAAAAGACCTGCCCCCGTAATACAGACCCGGGGGTCTTCTATTCCGGGGGATCTACTATCCGAGAGCTTACGATATAAGGACTGTGTCAGAAACAAGAAGTGATGCACTAGAAAGTTGTTGGACTACAAGTAGGAAACCCTAGTGAAATGTACCCCCTAAAGGCTAACCCACTGTAGCCTACACAACAGAAACATATATAATGTTTGACACACCCCCATAGGCTAAGTGGGGAGAACAAGGGGTCACAGGACCAGCCAAGAAAACCAAAGCAAGCTCAGGGTGGATCACAACGTCACCACACACTCTGAGCACAAGCAAAGGACCACAAGGCCAGTTCACATGCAGAGGCATATATGTAGCACAAACATCACAGTGATCTATGTCTAGCAAGTATGCAGGTATAGATATATAGATCACAGTACAGGCAAAGTCTACAACAAGTGAGGAAAAGTGGGCACAAGCCCTAGCAAAGTGCAGAAACGCTGATGATCACCAGACTGAAGTGCCTTGGTGAATATATCAGCAGTGTTGGCCTGAGAGGCCACAAAACGCAGACGAAGCTGACCACGCTGCTGTAACTCTCGAGCCAGAAAGTAACGTAGAGCGATGTGCTTCCTCCTGTGCTCTAGTCTGTGCTCCTCACACAAGGCAATGGCAGCCTTCTTGTCGACGTACAGCACTGGAGCAGAACGAGGCCGCTCTCCCAGGTCGGTCAGCAGATAGGTGAGCCAGTGTAACTCCTATGCAGCCATGGCTGTGGCGTAGATCTCAGCCTCACAACTGGAGCTGAGAACTGAAGACGAACGTGTAGAACGCCAAGAAACTGAGCCAGAGCCAAGGCTGAAGGTGTAACCCTGTGACGACCGCTGAGTAGCCTGGTCGTCAACCCAAGAAGCGTCTTAGTGCCCAGTGAGAACAACTGGGCTCCCTCCTCCAAGCACGAGCCCCATGCCCGATGTACTGCACAAGTAGCGCAATACCCTCTTTGCAGCATCCCAGTGCACCTTTCGGTGCCTGCCAGGAGCCACATAGCGGGCCAGAAGGCCAAGAGGGTATGCTAGGTCAGGACGAGTGCAAGTCATCAGGTACAAGAGGCAACCAACTAGCTCTGGGTAAGGACCACTCGGCTCTACAGACTCATCCGAAGGCAGAGCTGAGAGCGAGTGACCTATAGCCAGAGGAGTGGCCTGTGCTGAGGACCAGGTGAAGCCGAAGCGCTGAAGGACCTGCTACACCATGTGTGAATGAGTCAGTGTGATGGTGCGGCGTGCTCTGTCCCGGGTGATCTGCAAGCCAAGGTAGCTGCGCAGTTCACCCAGGTCTGTACACGTGTGTCTCTTCTGCAGCTCGGACTTCACGTGGGCGAGAGCCTCAGTGTCAGCAGTGGAAAAGACCAAGTCGTCGACGTACACGAGGATGTAGAACGGCGGCAGCGAAGTGTCGGTGCGCAGAAACAGCGACGGGTCAGCAGTAGAAGGCGTGAACCCAAGTGCCGCAAGAGTAGTCCTCAGTGTGTCGTGCCACTCACGTGGCGCCTGGCGGAGACCGTAGACCGGCCGCCGGAGGCTCCACTGGGTACCAGGAGGAAACTACCCAGTGAAGCCAGGAGGGCGGCGCAGCCAGATCTCCTCGTGCAGGCTGCCCTGCAAGAAAGCTGTGCTGAAGTCAAGAGAGTGAAGCTCGTAGTCACGCTGAGCGGCAACGTGCAGTAGCACCCGAAGAGTGGTCATCTTCGGGGTGGGGGAGAAGGTCCGAAAGAAGTCTACTCCCTCTCGCTGACTGAAGCCTCGAGCAACGTAACGAGCCTTGAAGACAGGCGGAGAATCCGGCGGCCGCTTCACCCTGAAAATCCACATGCCACTGACGATGTTCGCCCCACGAGGGGGAACCTCGTCGACGTAAGTGCCAATGGACTTCCAGGATGCCATCTCTGCATCCATGGCTGACTGCCACTGAGAGGAGTACTCACCCGCGATCGCCTCAGCGTAAGAGCGCGGGGTCGGGATGCCTGGAGCATCCGGGTCTCCCTCAGGGGCAATCAGCATGGACACGAGATGAGGCGCAGCGGCTGCAAGACACTCAAGGTCCTCCTGTCTGTCCTCAAGGACGTCCGTGCCTAGAGCACACTCACCCCCGACGGACGGAGGACAGACAGACTCAGACTCAGCAACAAGACTGGCGGCGTAGTCTAGACGACAGTGAGCAGCAAAGTCGACAAGCTCAGCAACTAGGGCAGGCGCAGCAGCAGACTCAAAGGAAGGGTCAGTGACAGCAGTGGCCAGGAGATGCGTGACAGTAGGACTGGCAGCACGAAGAGAGTCAGACTCCGGGTCAGCAAGAACAGGAAGAGAGGACGCAGGAGGAGACGGCAGAGGGACACGCTGTGGAGCAGTGGAAGGACGCAGAGTCATATAGTGTGTGCCAGGGACAGGTGGAGGACGCTCACGCGGAACACGGCGACCAGTGCGAGCAGCACGAACAGGTGACACAGGACGAGACACATGCGACACAGGACGAGACTCAGGCTCACGACGCTCTGTAAGACCGCCTGTCGGACCAGTGTAGGGAGAAGGACCAGGAAGTGGCGAGGCAGGGGGTAGCTGTGACCGCGACTGGACAGGCGGAGGACACTCTAAGGAGGGAGGAGGACTAGGAGGAGGCGGCTGACCAAGAACCTGCTGAAGGAGCGGAACGAAGTACGGCCGCGGCCGTGAAGTGCCCCCAGAAGCAGCAGAGACAGCACCAGAACCTCAAGCCGAACCAGCACCAGCAGCACCTCCAGCAGCTCCAGCAGCACCTCCAGCAGCACCAGCAGCACCTCCAGCAGCTCCAGCACCAGCAGCACCTGCAGCAGCTCCAGAACCTGCAGCCGAACCAGCACCAGCAGCACCTCCAGTAGCTCCAGCACCAGCAGCACCTCCAGCAGCTCCAGAACCTCCAGCAGCAGTAGGGCCTCCAGCGGGCTGTACCTCAACACCAGGAGCTCCACTCCGGAGGCTGCAGCGCGAGCGTACCACTCACGCAGCCGCTGAGGGGAGGGAGGCTCCGGCCGCGACACTGTACCCGCAGAGCCACCAGCCCCAACTCCAGCAGACCTCCCAGCTCCAGTAGCCCCACTACGGAGGCTGTAACGCTGGGAGTACCACTCACGCAGCTGCTGTGAGAGGGAGCGCCAACAGGCGCAGTACGGTCAGTCTCAGAACCTCCAGCCTCAGCTCCTCTAGGCTCAGCACCCCCAATCGCAGCACCCCCAGGCTCACCACCCGCAGTCTCCGCACCCCCAGACTCAGCACCCCCACTCTCCGCACCCCCAGGCTCAGCACCCCCAGTCTCAGTACCCCCAGACCCAGCACCACCAGGCTCAGCACGCTCAGCACCTTGCGCAGGACTAGAGTCAACAGCTACCTCGACAGGCTCGACCGGGTCTACCTGGGAAACACCTGAGGGAGCAGCACCCTGGGGAGGAAGGGGGTCTACCGACGGGACACCTGGGGTGAGGAAGAGCGGCGGGGGGGGGGAGCGGGGCAATGCGGTAGGGGAAGAGACGGTAAAAGGGTACCGACTCGTCAAAGGTGACGTCCTGAGAGGCGAAGACACGGCGCGAGGTGGGGTGGTAAAACTGCCAGCCAGGCGCATCAGGGACAAAGCCAAGGAAGACACAGGGAACGGCACGGGAGGAGAGCTTGTCCGCGGACGTATCGCAGACAAAGGCTCGACATCCCCAGACTCGGAACACCGACGCATCGCCAACCTCCCCCGTCCAACGCAGGGTAGGCGAGGTCTCCGGAACAGAGACACGGGGCCAGAGGTTGAGCTGATGCGCGGCGTACTGCACTGCAAACGGCCACAGGAAATGGGGGGCAGCCGCATGGATCATGGAGGTACGAGCGACCTCCATGACAAGACCAATGCGGCGCTCAGCAACCCCATTCTGCTGCGGAGAGGCCGGGAGAGTGAACGTCTGGCGGATGCCGTGCTCCGCACAGTAGGCTGCCAAGAGGTCAGAGGAAAACTTGCCACCTCTGTCAGAGTGCAGACGTAGGACAGGAAAGTCCGACTGGAACCGCTCGCGGAGCTGGAGACGAGCAGCGCGGATCCAGGGGATCAAGACATCAGGGACCTCACCCTTGGTACACAAGGGGAAGACCGTGGTGTAGCGCTTGTAGTCGTCGACGACCAGCAGAAAGTACCGCTCGTGGCCCTGTCCCCGGACGCGGGCGGGGCCCCACACGTCTAGGTGGAGAGTCTGCAGGGGAGCCTCTGTGGGAGGGAACGAGGAAGAGTGAGGAGCGGCGCGCTGCCACCCCTCGACACAGGGAAGACAGGGAGGAGCAGGCGAGGGTGGCAGGGGAGGGAGAACTCTGGGAAGACCAGAGACAAGGTACCTGGAGTGCATGCCGCGAAGGCGCTGCACTGACGGGTGACCAAGGCGGTGGTGCCAGAGGACAGTCCTGTGTGACAGGGAGCGACACGAGCAGGGGGCCGACAGCTGACCTGACGCAGACGCAGATGCAGCTACCTGAGGGGACTCAGTGGTCAGTGTGTACAAGTCCGACCCCGGCTGCCGAGTGAAGGTAGCCAGGTGACGACCCGTCCGGGCGCACGTGCAGTGCGTCACACGCTCGTAGGCCGGGGTGAACTGGTGAACACCCGCATCCTGGAGCGCGGAACCCGCCACCAAGTTCGTAGAGAACGAGGGGAGATAGAGGCCCGACAGCATGCCAGACGGGACAGCAGGACAAGGGAGGGCAGTGGTGGAGGTCGCAAGGACCGGACCCCCTGAGGGGTCGGCCAGGGAGACAGCAACCGGTCTAGGGAGCTGCTCTAGGGCAGTGCGGTCGCGGAAGAAACAGCGGGAAGCACCTGAGTCCAGTGTGAAGGTGTGCAGTGCCTCAGTAGGTGCGGTACCAGCAGACGTAGACGCACTAGCACCTAGGGCAGCAGCCTCACCAGGACCTAGAGCAGTTGACGCGCTAGCACCTAGAGTTGCAGCCTCACTGGTCCCAATACCCGGGTCGGGCGGTACACTCAGGTAACAGTCACCCTCAGCACTAATAGTCAATGCATACATAGCAGCAAGGATAGCATCATTATCAAGAGCAAAGATATCAATCCCCTTCCTAAGCAGATCAGCCCAGCGGGGCAGCTCAGAGGCATCAGGGAACTGCTCGCGCCAGGCGTCGTCGAGGGGAAAGAAACAGCGCTACGCCGTGTGAAACTTCCCACAAGTCTGGCCAGTGCGGTCACCTGTGCGGATGACGTATGGGCAGGTACCTCCACCCCCAGACCCCCCACGCTGAGAGTACCACTCACGGAGCTGCTGGGGCGAGGGAGTCTCGCCGGGACGCTGCTGCTGCTGCCTCTGGCCACCGCCGAACCCCCCACGCTGCACCGCTCCACCGCGCCCGCCACCCGCTCCACCGCCGCCACCACTGCCACCACCGCCCCCACCACCCCCACCACCGCCGCCGCCGTCACCACCCCCTGTGCCGCCACTGACCCCCCCACCACCCGCGCCACTCCCACTTCCGCCACCACCCCCGCCCCCCCCACCCCCTCCACCGCCGCCGCCCCCGCCTCCACCTCCACCACCCCTGCCCCCCTTGCCCCTGCCGCCCTTGCGCCTCCCACTAGGAGCAGACGCGGCCCCGACCCCCTCAGCTCCGAGGTAGTCGACAGCAGCAGCAGATGCAATGGAGGGGAGGAGGGGGGAGGGGGAGCACCCCTCAAAGAAGGGGGTGCGGGGGTCACCACGAGAGGCACCTACAGCTACAATGCTCTTCTCAGCTGCTAGGAGTTCCTTCTCGAGGAGGTCGACAGTGAGGTCAGTGGGGGAGAGGGCGAGAAACTGGTCCGTGACAGTGCGAAAGGAGTCAGAGAGGCGGGTGACAAGGTGGTACAGTGTGAGGTACATCGGGGGGGGGGGGGTTCTTGGCGAGGAAATCGGGGGGGAGCGCGGCACGGTAGCGGAGGTCACTGGTACGGAGGTGGGTGATGAGGTCAGCTACAGTGGCAAAGGCGGACAGGTCGGGGAAGAGGTAGGGCAGTGAGAGACGGCCTATAGCAGCAGTGGCAGGGGAGGAGTAGCGCGCGACTACTGCGTCGTACAGCTCCTTAGCGGTCTTATGCTGGCCGAAGTGCTCGCGCTCATCTAACGGCAGGTGGCTGCGAACGGCTAGGCGAGCGTGAGCATCACGGGTCTGCCACTGGGAGCGAGCAGTACTGTCAGCAGTAGTGGGAGGTGCGGGAGCGGCGCCTGACGTGTGGTCATACAGGGAGACATCGTCCTTGGCAGTGATCTGGAGGAACAGGTGGAGGTCATCTAACCAAACCTCAAACTTAATCGGGCGGCCCTCAGCGTCAAAGGTGAGAATAGAGGGAGTGGCCATAGTGGCAGTAGCAGCAGTAGGAACAGTAGCAGTAGCAGTAGTAGCAGTAGCAGTAACAGTTGCAGCTGAAGCAGTAGTAAGGCAGGAACAGGAACAGGAGTTGCTGCAGGTGGGGCACAGTAGGGCGGCGCGGCTCGGCCAGGGCGGCGCGGCTCGGTTCGGGCGGCGCGGCTCGGTTCGGGCGGCGCGGTTCGGTTCGGGCGGCGAGGCTCGGCTCGGGCTGGGCTACGCGGCGGTGCGCGACGGGGGGCGTGCGCGTGGGCGGCTGTAGCGGGCGGGCCGTGGCTGTGCGTGGGCCTGACTAGCGCGCGGGTGGCGGCCTAGAGGTGGCGTCGCGGCGGCCTACGGGCGGGGCTGCGACGCTCTGGGCGGCGGTCGACGGGCGGCTAGGGGCTGTTCGTGGGCGGCGCCGATCGCGCGGGCGGCTAGGGGTCGGCGCGCGCTCAGAAAAAGGCCGCGCGCGGGCTGCTAGCGGGCTACGCGCGCTAAAAAAAAAGGGCCGCGCGCGGCACTAGCGAGCTGCGCACGGGCAGCAGGAGGAAGAGAGGCGCACGAGGGCGCACTAGGAGAGAGGCGCTCGAGGGCGCTAAATAGATACGGCGCTCGAGGGCGCTTCTAGCGGTGGGCCCTTAGGTAAGCGGTCCTAGGACTAGGACCTAAGCTCTTAATACCATGTCAGAAACAAGAAGTGATGCACTAGAAAGTTGTTGGAGTACAAGTAGGAAACCCTAGTGAAATGTACCCCCTAAAGGCTAACCCAGTGTAGCCTACACAACAGAAACATATATAATGTTTGACAGACTGTATTATATGTAGCCATTGTAGAAAGTGTATATCCTGTGTCGACGTTTGTGTCTCAAACCTATTGTGACGCGTAAAAACAGCATAGAACGTACAATGTCACAAACGTGTGTCGCCCTAATACGACTTTTACTATATTTTACATTGGTCAGCGTGTATTGCGCTAGTGTCGCGGACGAGTTGGACGAGGCCCTGTCACGTCCCCGAAATCGCATGCGGGTCAAAATGTCAAGCAATTGCCTGGCCTGACCACATGCATCTGGACGCACGATGATGTGACAGATTTGGCGAAACCGCCACGTTCGGGCAGCCTCGAAAGGGGTTTCCTCCCCCTGTCTCACGCATGCCTGCCCAACAAAACCACTCCCCTTCTCAACCCTTCTGTCCAGCAACCATCCTGGATCTCTTCTTCTCCACCTTCTGTCAATTTCATTTCTCGTTTCTTGTTTCTCCTTCTCTCAAGATCTCTACCCCTTTGTTAGCCATGGCGCGTAAGCGTAAGAGCGCATCTGAAGGCGCGAACGTGTGCCCGCGGGATCTCAACGAGATCCCGTATATTTCTTGGATGAACAAGCAGCTCACCGCGGGACGTAAGCCCGCAGCCCGAAGAAACTCCTTCGCGTGGAGACACCTCTTACCAAGCCCCTTGTGACATCCCGATGCACGGCCGCCGTGACGCGGACCGTGTGGCATCATCTCGCAGCCCCGAAGTTAACAAGGACGGTGACGACGATGACGACTCCGACTATAGCGAGGACGCCGTCGGCACTGACGACGAGGCGGACTCGGGAGAAGAGGAGGACAAGGACATGTCCGACTCGGAGGGCGACGCGGACGGTGACGACGCGGAGGGTGACGACGACGACGCCCCGGAGGAATCGCAGCCCGCGGCACCGATTGCTCGCCGCGGTCGTGCTAAGGCGGCATCTGGCGTCAAGACCGCCGCTAAGGGCGGGGAGCCAACACGCCTTGCTCCAAAGACCCGCGACCAGATCCCGGTGAAGCGCATCATGTGATCGCCGCTGGAGAACACGATCCTTGTTGCTGCGCGCTGGTTCATGAAGGACGAGCTCGAGCCTTTGCTAGGGAAGCAGGGCTCGCAGTATTGGGCCCGCCTTGTTCGTCACATCGAGACGGAAAATACTGGGTGGGTTCGTGGCGTGAACGCCGTGCAGAAGCAGTGGCACAACCTCGTCAGCATCTACAAACAGATGAAGAAGGGGGAGAGGGCGTCCAGTAAGGGTGCGGTGTGTAAGCCGCCGTGGTGGCCGTACATGGAACTATTTCATAACAACAGGGCCGCCGCTGAGCCGCATGCCGTGGATGGCGGCGGGGCCATATACGTGAATGTGCCGTGCGGGTTCTCGGTATCGTCAACGTCCGCTCCATGCACCTCTACTCCGATGTTCACGGGTGAGGCCACACTTCATGCTCTCCTCTGTTTCAATGTTTGGTTGTTAAAGTGATGTTGGCAAATCTTCCATCGTTAATATTGTTATAGTTAACAACAACCATATGTCGCTAAAGAAAGTTAACTACCCGTTCGTGCGTGTGCAGCCCCCCTTCCGCCGAGCACCCCTCCTTCTAAGCGCCCGCGTGTTGCAGAGACAGCTACCATGGCTGCTGCCAAGCTGGTCTGTGAGACCATCAAGGGATGCAACGTGGATGCGATGACCAAGCTAGAGGGCCTCGTCCACGCCTGGATGTAGCAAGACGCGGAAATTGCGCGCGGGCGCAACAAGGGTCCGGACCCTGCTCCGCCGACTCCCAACGTCGTCCCCGAGGAGGCGGACGCCCAGCCTGCAACGAACGCCGCCGAAGGCGGCGACGAAGGATCGTTCCATCGCGGATAGGCCAGTGAAGACACCGCTAACCCAGATGAGGTCGAGGAGGTGTGGGTTCGCGGCGACGCTGAGTAAGGTACGACAACTCCAATGCCTCACCGAGCCTCTTCCGCCTTTCACGCAATGTTGCTTGATTGCATGGCACGACAGGCTCCCATTTGAAATTGGCGACGGCGCCACGGGTCCACCAAGGGCCTCACCTCCCCCATCGTTTCACACATGTTGTGCAGGACGACGCAACACGACGCCCCTGCAAGCACGCGCCACAGTTTGCAGTCCTTGCAGCCTGCGAAGAGCCTCCACCTGCCTTTGAAGGCGCCGATGCAGCGCTCTACCACCATGCGCGTGGCGCTTTGGCATTAGTTCAAGCACTGCTCCGAGTATGTCACAAAGAAAGAAACGAGAATGACTAAAAAACAGGACAGTACAAGGTTTGTATAGGCAAAGCCTAACAATACTGTACCCCATAAGGAGTGCCCCACTACAGCCTACAATATAGTTCTGACACACCCCCATAGGCAAAGTGGGGGACAAGCAAGAGAACAAGGCAAGGTCAAGCTCAGGGTGGATCACGACGTCACCACGCATTCTGAGCACAAGTACAAGGCCACAAGGCCAGTTCACATGCAGGGTTATAAATCAAGGTGAACAAGCAAGACAGTGATCTCAACCTAGCAATGGTAAGCATGCAGGTGCAAGTATATATAGATCACAGTACAAGCAAAGTCAAGAGGTGAGCAAGTGAGGCCAGGTAGGCACAAGACCTAACATAGTACAAAAACGCTGATGATCACAAGGCTGAAGTGCCTTGGTAAAGATATCAGCAGTGTTGGCCCGAGTGGCCACGTAAGCAAGACGAAGCTGACCACGCTGCTGCAACTCTCGAGCAAGTAAGTAGCGCAGAGCAATGTGCTTCGTTCTGTGCTCCAGTCTGTGCTCCTGACACAAGGCAAGCATGGCCTTGTTGTCGACGTACAGAACTGGAGGAGAACAAGGCGCCTCTCCCAAGTCGGTCAGCAGGTAGGTGAGCCAGCGTAACTCCTGTGCAGCCATGGCCCTTGCGTAGATCTCAGCCTTACAACTGGAGCTGAGAACAGAAGACGAGCGGGTAGACCGCCACGAAACAGAGCCGGAACCAAGGCTGAAGGTGTAACCCTGTGACGACCGCTTCGTAGCCAAGTCGTCAACCCAAGAAGCGTCTGCGTGACCAGTGAGGACAACTCGAGCCCGTCCTCCAAGCACGAGCCCCATGCCCGACGTACTGCACAAGTAGCGCAACACCCTCTTAGCTGCATCCATGTGCTCTGGTCGGTGTCTCCCACGAGCAACATAGCGTGCCAAGATGCTAAGAGGGTATGCCAGGTCAGGTCGAGTGCAGGTCATCAGGTACATGAGGCAGCCAACAAGCTCTGGGTACGGGCCACTCGGCTCTACGGACTCATCCGAAGCCAGAGCTGAGAGCGAGTGGCGAGTAGACAGAGGAGTGGCCTGAGGCGAGGAGCACGTGAAGTTGAAGCGCTGAAGGACCTGCTGCACCATGTGTGACTGGGTCAAGGTAATGGTGCGCCATGCTCTGTCCCGGGTGATCTGCAAGCCAAGATAGCTGCGCAGCTCACCCAGGTCTGTGCACGTGTGTCTCTTCTGCAGCTCGGACTTCACGTGGGCGAGTCCAGCAGTGTCAGCAGTGGCAAAGACCAAGTCGTCGACGTACACAAGGATGTAGAACGGCGGCAGAGTAGTGTCGGTGCGGAGAAGCAGCGACGGGTCAGCAGTGGAAGGAGCAAACCCAAGAGCCGCAAGCGTAGTCCTCAGTGTGTCGTGCCACTCACGGGGCGCCTGGCGTAGACCGTAGACTGGCCGCCGGAGGCTCCACTGGGTACCAAGAGGAAACGACCTAGTGAAGCCAGGTGGACGGCGCAGCTAGATCTCCTCGTGCAGGCTGCCCTGGAGGAAGGCTGTGCTGAAGTCAAGAGAGTGAAGCTCGTAGTCACGCTGAGCGGCGACGTGCAGCAGCACCCGAAGAGTGGTCATCTTCGGGGTGGGAGAGAAGGTCTGAAAGTAGTCAACTCCCTGCCACTGACTGAAGCCTCGAGCCACGTAACGTGCCTTGAAGACAGGCGGAGAACCTGGCGGCCGCTTCACCCTGAAAATCCACATGTCATCGACAATGTTCGCCCCAGGTGGGGGAACCTCGTCGACGTAGGTGCATGTGGACTTCCAGGAAGCCATCTCTGCGTCCATGGCTGTCTGCCACTAAGAGGAGTAGGGACCCTCTATCGCCTCTGCGTAAGAGCGCGAGGTCGGGATGTCTGGTGCATCCGTGTCTCCCTCAGGGGTAAGCAGCATGGTCACGAGATGAGGTAAAGCAGCAGCAAAACACTGGAACTCCTCCTGCCTGTCCTCAAGGACGTCCGCGCTAAGAGCACACTCACCCCCGACGGACGGAGGACAGACAGACTCAGACTCAGCAACAAGACTAGCGGCGTAGTCTAGACGACAGTGAGCAGCAAAGTCGACAAGCTCAGCAACTAAGGCAGGCGCAGCAGTGGACTCAAAGGAAGGGTCAGTGACAACAATGGCCAGGAGACGCGTGACAGTAGGACTAGCTGCACGAAGGGAGTCAGACTCCGGGTCAGCAAGAGCAGGAAGAGAGGACGTAGGAGGAGACGGCAGAGGGACAAGCTGCGGAGCAGTGGAAGGACGCAGAGCCATCTGGTGCATGCCAGGGATTGGAGGAGGACGCTGACGTGAACCACGACGACTAGTGCGAGCAGCACGAACAGGCGACGCAGGACGAGACTCAGGCTCACGACGCTCCGTAAGACCTCCGGTCGGACCAGTGTAAGGAGAAGGAGCAGGCAGTGGGGAGGCGGGCTGTAACTGTGACTGCGACTGGACACGCAGTGGACACTCTAAGGAAGGAGCAGGACCAGTAGAAGGCGGGAGACCAAGAACCTGCTCAAGGAGCGGAACGAAGTACGGCCGCGGCCGTGCAGCGCCTCCAAAACCAGCAGGGACAACACCAGCACCCCCAGCGTCAGCTCCCACTCCAGCAGCACCACCAGCTCCACCAGCACCTCCAGCAGCTCCAGTAGCACCAACTCCAGCACCCCCAGGAGCACCGGCTCCAGCAGGTTCCCAGCGCCAGCACCTCCAGCTCCTGCAGGACCACCAGAAGCCTCAGCAGCTCCAGTAGCGCCAGCTCTAGTACCTCCAGCAGCACCTGCTCCAGCAGAACCGCCAGCTCCAGCCCCTCCAGCAGCTCCAGCTCCATCAGCACCACCAGACCCAGCAGCTCCAGTACCTCCAGTACGAGCACCTCCGGGACTAGTGGCTCCGGAACCTCCAGCAGCTCCAGCAGCAGCAGGACCTCCAGCGCCCGTAGCACCACCAGCTCCAGCAGCACGGCTCCTGCGCCAAGCAAACCACTCGCGCAGCTGCTGTGGAGAGAGTGGCTCCCGCCGGGACGAAGCACTTGAAGGACCTCTAGGCTCAGCACCTCGAGACTCCATACGCGCAGGCTCAGCAACCCCGGGCTCAGCACCCCCGGGCTCAGCGCCCCCAGACTCAGCACCCCCTGGCTCAGCACCCCCAGGCTCAGCACCCCCAGACTCAGCACCCCCAGGCTCTCCACGCTCAGGCTCAGCACCCCCAGACCCGGCACCCGCAGGCTCAGCACCCCTAGCAGCACCAGAGTCAACAGCTATCTCGACAGGCTCGACTGCATCTACCTGGAACACAGCTGAGGGGGCAGGACCCTGAGGGGGGAGGGGGTCTACCGGGGAAGGACCTGGTGCGAAGAAGAGCGGCGGGGGGGGGAGGGGGGCAGTGCGGTAGGAAAAGAGACGGTAGTAAGGAACCGACTCGTCAAACGTGACATCCTGAGAGGGCAGAACACGGCGCGAGGTGGGGTGGTAAAACTGCCAACCAGGCGCGTCAGGGAGGAAGCCAAGGAAGATGCAGGGAACAGCACGGGAGGACAGCTTGTCCGCAAACAAGTCGCGGACGAAAGCTCGAGATCCCCAGACACGGAACGCAGACGCATCGACAACCTTCCCCGTTCACCGCAGAGTAGGTGTGGTCTCCGGCATGGAGACCCGGGGCTGGAGGTTGAGCTGATGCGCCGCGTACTGAACCGGGAACGGCCACAAAAAATGGGGAGCAACCGCATGGATCATGGACGTACGAGCGACGTCCATGACCATGCCAATGCGGCGCTCAGCAATCCCATTTTGCTGCGGAGAGGCCGGAAGTGTGAACGTCTGGCGGATGCCCTCCGCACGACAGAAGGCTTGCAGAAGTTTGGAGGAAAACTCTTCACCTCTGTCGGAGTGCAGACGCAGAACAGGAAGGTCCGAGCCGAAACTCTCGCGGAGCTGACGACGGGCAGCACGGATCCAGTCGATCAGCAACTCACCCTTGCGGCGCAAGGTGAAGACTGTGGTGTAACGCGAGTAGTCGTCAACGACTAGTAGAAAGTAGCGCTCATGACCCTGTCCACGGATGCGGGCTGGGCCCCACACGTCCATGTGAATAGTCTGCAGGGGAGCCTCCGTCGGAGGGAACTCAGAGGAGTGAGGAGCGGCACGCTGCCGCCCCTCGACGCAAGGAACGCAGGTAGGGGCAGGCCCAGGGGGAAGGGGAGGGAGAGACCGGGAGGACCAGTGACAAGGACACGAGAGGCCATGCTTCGGAGACGAGGCAGGAAGGGGTGACCAAGGCGGTGGTGCCAGAGGAGAGTCTGGTGAGATAGGAGGCGACACGAGCAGGGGGCAGACTCAGGACAAGACCGAGACATTGCAGCAAACACCTGACCCGACACGGCTACCTGATCAGACTCAGCAACCGGAGGAGACACGGCATCT